CCACTCACTCCCCCGTCCCTTTGGTGTGAGAGTGAGTGAGTGGCTGTGTGGTTCTTGGTTGCTAGCTGGGGCTAAACCACGACACTGGCACAGAGCCATAGCCTTTTCTGCTCTTCATACTACTACACTGGCAGGGAAGTTGGGGGTGCATGGGAGATTAGGAGGAGGCACAGTCAGGACAGGTGACCCAAACTGACCAAAGGGATATCCCGTATCATATAACATCATGCTCAGTATATACGATGGGAGGAAGAAGGAGGAAGGGAGGACATCTGGAGTGATGGTGTTTGTCTTCCCAAGTAAACCAGTATGTGTGATGGGCCCTGCTCTCCTGGGGAGGTGCTGAACACCTCCTGCCCATGGGAAGCAGTGAATTAATTCTTTGTTTTGCTTTGCTTGTGTGTGCAACTTCTGGTTTCCCTATTAAATTGTCTTTATATGAACCCGTGAGTTTCCTTGCTTTTACTGTTCTGATTCCCTGATCCCACTGGCAGGGGAGGGAGCGAGCAGCTGCCTGGGGCTTGGCTGCTCCCTGGGGTTAAACACCACACCTATAAAAACACACAGGCAACAGAAAGGAGAGGAGGTGCTTGGCAGAAAAAAGTAAATTTTAAGGGTTACAAATATATTATATGGGTTGGCAATGGCACAGAAGGAGACAGACTGTGGATAGTACTCACTGCTACTAATAGTGAACAGTTGCTTGGGCTGTTGAGGTCCTTTCTACGGTGCAGTTACTGTGTAGCACACCGACAATACCACAGCCATCAACCAACCTACTTAGTGCAGGGTTTCCATTCCCAGCACTCACAGCCAATGCAACCTTTCTTCAAATTTCACAGCTATTAATGCTTTGTTTAAAGCTTCGGCAACTGGAATCCGGTGATTGCTGCTGAATCTCTGCTTTCTCTTAAACAGATAAAGAAAATGTGAAGTTTCTCACCATCAGAGAAAAGCCTGATAAGGTGAATTCCTGAAGGTCAAAAGTCATGACGACAAACAAAGAGACCCTAACCCAAGGTAGGGTTAAAATATTGTGATTTTAAAAGCAAACCTGGTACTTTTGAGGAACCTCATTCATTTTCTCATTGTATTTTCTCCTCCTCTTGGAGGAGTAGATGGTGAAAAGATGGGACTGGCTTTAAAAAAGGAAGCATTCATTAGCAAAGTTTAGCACAAAGTCAGC